TCGGGCTCCGGAAACCCGAGGGAAAAAGGCTTAGGTGGCAAATGGTAAAACCAAGGTTGGGCCTTGCTGGAGGAGTTTTATTCAAGGCGAACTGTCAAGATGTTGGGCATACGGCCGTCTCTCGCTGATCGTACATGAGCGGTACATGCAGATTTGCATACTTGGGATCTGATATCCTTAAGGGTCCAAAAAAAGAATTAATAAACTAAAAAATATTTAGAAAAACTACGAAGGGGGCCTGTGAATGTTAACTCTCTTGCACCTCAAAAGGAGATTATTGTACCGATTCAAAATTTATTGGAACAAGAGGAGATACACTGGCTACAACGGGGTCGAGCAAACTGGTTATTGCATGGTGACCGCAATACTTCTTTTTTCCATAACACTGCAACAGCTAGAAAGAAGAGAAACCAGATAAAAAAATTGCTTGACGATAATGGGGTTTGGGTAAAAGACATGGAGATGAAGAATCATATTCTGGGGTATTTTTCTAACCTGTTTACTTCATAAGTTAATCAACCGAACCAGGAGGTTCTCTTCCTTGTAAAAAGGAAAATAATAAATGAGATGAATAGGGCTCTCCTTGCCCCCTACACAGTAGAAGAGGTTCGGAAGGCCCTCTTTGACATTGGTGATTTAAAGGCGTCGGGGCCAGATGGCCTTCACGCCATTTTCTATAAGAGATTTTGGGCTATGTTAGGGGATGATTTGACTGAAGAGGTTCTCCAAGCAGTGAATACCTGTACTATACCCGATGGTTGGAATGATACTACAATAGTAATGATCCCAAAAGTTAAGTCCCCAGAAAAGGTAACTCAATTTAGACCAATCAGTTTACGCAATGTGGTGTATAAGGTCATTTCAAAGATGATTGCTGCTCATCTAAAGACAATCCTCCCAGATATTATTAGCCCTACCCAAAGTGCTTTTGTGTCTGGAAGAATGATTACAGATAACATCTTAGTGGCTTATGAATGTTTCCATAAAATAAAAAATAAAATAGCTGGTAAAGAGGGCTTGTGTGCAATCAAACTGAACATTCACAAAGCATATGACTGAGTGGAGTGGCCTTTTTTAAGGAAATCATGCTGAGACTAGGCTTTGAGCAGGAATGGGTGAATTTAATAATGCAATGTGTGCCCTCGGTGGAACACCGAGTTTGTTTTAACACGGAAGAAACAGAGAGCTTCAAACCATCTAGAGGATTGAGGCAGGGAGACCCTCTCTCCCCATATTTATTTTTGTTATGTACGGAAGGCCTGACAGCACTCCTAGCTAATGCAGAGGAGAATGGAAGTATTTATGGAATTAAAGTTAGCAGAGATGCCCCATCTATTTCAATTCTCCTCTTCGGGGATGATTCATTAATCCTGATGCAAGCTAATTTGATGAATGCGGAGGCACTGAAATCAATTTTGGATGCTTATTGTGCTGCATCAGGGCAAAGGGTGAGTGTTGAAAAATCTAGTATATTTTTTAGTCCCAACATAAAAGTGGAAGATAAGGCGCATATATGTACTATTCTAAACATTATGACTGAAGCTCTCAATGACAAATATTTAGGTCTGCCTTCAAATGTAGGTATGGACAAAAGTGATTGCTTCCAATTCTTAATATATCAAATTGTTATGAAAATCAGTGGTTGGAAGGAAAAGCTGCTATCAGCAGGAGGAAAGGAAATCCTTCTCAAATCGGTTGTACAAGCTATCCCAACTCATGCAATGTCCGTCTTTAAAATTCCTAAAAAAATATGCAAAGGAATCATTGACGCGATGTCGCATTTCTGGTGGGGTGACGAAGACAATCAGAAGAGAATGCATTGGATGACATGGTGAAAGATGTGTGTATCAAAAAACCAAGAAGGAATGGGTTTTCAAGATATACATTGCTTCAATTTGGCCTTATTAGCCAAACAAGCGTGGTGCCTGCTTGATAATCCTGATTCCTTATGTGTCACCATTTTGAGAGATAAATACTATCCGGATGGAGATTTAAAGAATACGAGTCTTAAAAAAGGATCTTCTTTCACTTGGCAAAGCATTATGGCAGGAGTGGATTCTCTAAAAAATTGTTATATTTGGAGAGTTGGAAATTGACAAAATATTGATATCTGGAGAGATTCATGGATTCTGAATGGGGCCAATAGGAAAATTATCACTCCTAGAAGAGGGCAGCTTCTAACAAAAGTTTCTGATCTTATAGATCCAATCAACAATTGCTGGGATGAAGATTTGATAAGACAAACATTATGGCCAATTTGGTATGCATCTTGGGTCTTTCCCTGATGGACTAGCGAACGTCTTTTCCACCATAAATACCAAGCGATGGGAGCCCGTGCTATAACGACAAACTATGTTTTTGCCCAATCCTCCAAGGCAACAAATAGAATAGAGGGATGGACGAGACCCCCTCTAGGTTTTATGAAATTAAATGTCGATGCTTCTTTCAATCAAGACATGCTTAGAGGCACAACGGAAGCTGTACTTAGAGACGACAATGAAAGATTTATTGTTGGAGAGAATTGGAAGATGGATTGGTGTGCAGATGTTTTAACATCGGAAGCCATGGCACTACGTTTTGGCATATTACTTGCACAAAAGGCGGGATGCAACCGACTTGTTGTTAACTTCGACAATATGAAAGTAATTGACACAATGAAGAATTGAGGACATATAGCGGGAGCGGCGGCAGTTGTGTTTGATGATTGTTATTTTATGACTTGTGATTTTTTGTTAGTTAGATTTGAACACTATAATAGGGTGGCAAATAAAGTAGCTCATGAAATTGCTAGAGTGGCTAAATTTTCTGAGATAAAGGATTGTTTTGAGGAACTTATGAACAAAATTGTAAATTTTCTTATAGACGATATAACCATTATTACTAATAAATAAAGAAGATGTTTTATTTAAAAAAAATATGTGAGATCATCATATTTTGATTTGCAAACACTATTACTTCCGCGTTGAACTATCATTCATATTTGTAACTGAAATAATCAAGTTCTTCTAAAAAATAACAGAATATCCTACCTGTAGGGACTATGGCTGTAGGTTCTCACAATTTACCGTAAAATCTTTACAATTTGCGGTTAGAGAAGACCCTGCTATCAGACCATCTGACGGTAGGGTATGAAACCCTATCATAAAATCATGTCGCGTTTTTTATTATAGAACTTGACACACGCGTAGGACCAGACACACCTATCGCCGAGGAGGATGGTGGTAGCTTTAACCATCTTACCGCTGTCCACACCAGTGATAGTGCCGTTAGAACACGTCAGCCTCAAAACTGTTGATTGACGGTGGCTACCTTTAACCTACGCCTGAAGGTTTGGACGCATATGGTAGAAAATGAATCTGATTGTCAGATCAGGCTAAACTACGCCAAAGGTTCAAAACAGAGTCAATTACACTGATGGTGCTACAACTTGGCGCAAATGGTCACTTTGGTGCTAGAAGTTGTGGTGTACATTAAAGTGGAGCAAAAACTTGACATTAACGTGCAAATACGGTGTTTATCTCGTTTATGTACGAAGTATGTGCTGACTAGGCGCACGGGGCCCGCTGTCAGCCGCTCGACCAGAGAGAAGGGCCATGTGGCCTGATTTTTCTAAAAACACCCTCGAAATATTTTTAAAAAAAAATCCCTGCTAGATGTGGCTGGTGCGGATCGAACCCACAACAACGCCCACAGAAACGAGGTGGCAAACCACTGCACCCATTCAGTTTTCTTCGTCTGTAACGGGTAAAAACTTTATCTATTGTAATGGCAGCGCAGGTGGAGGTTAAATGAGCTGCAGATCTTGCGGCTTCTTCTGCACCTGTTAGTCTTTTTTATTTTTCTGTAGAAAGAATCAAAATTATAAGTGTTTTTAAAAAAATCTAAATTATAATCTCAGTAATAAAAATAATAAATGAATATTTCTGTTTATAAAAATTTCACATATTATTTAAAAAATATTTATGAATTATAACAGTGTTTGCATAATTTACAATTTACAAAGTTAAATTACAATCCATAAAATTATTTTAGGTATACAACATTTCAATAATTATATGCACGTTTGTATAGTTCAATGCTTTTATAACAAAAAATAATGATAATTTATAATTTAAACTGCTCATATGAATATTCATTTTCTATAATTTAAATCTAAGCCGTGACTATATAATATTTATGTATTCATTAATTATTTTAATTTTATTAAATGTCCATATTAACTAAATATTTTTTATATCATGCAAGGATGTATATTTAAATGTTATCATTTACTAATAATCATTTTCATGTATAATATTTGTATCACACAAATATGTGAACATATTTTTTATTAGTTATGTTCTACAAATAAATTTTAAAGCTATATGTACTATCTGCAGCCCGTAAAAGCTCCCCGTGCTGCCAGGTTAGTACATATAGCTTTCTGATCCAAATTAAACGTAAGATTTTGTTGGCGTACTGGTTAGCCGTGTTGGTGGTTTCTAGTCGGACATGGCTTCGACTCCAGGCAGCCTCCTTTTTGATTTAATTTTCACTCTGGTCTGACAGATGGGACCCACTCCTCATAGAGGTGAAAAAAATTGCCACTCCCACGTCGACAGGGCTTTTTTGAAAATAAATATTTCAAGAGTGTTTTCCAAAAAATCAGGCCACGCACCCCTTTTCTTTGGTGCAATGGCTGACAGCGGGCCCCACACGCTTAGTAAGCACCTACTCCATACATAAATGAGATAAGCATCGTATTTGTACGTTAATATCAAATTTTTGCACTACTTCAATGTACGTCATAACTTTTACCATCAAAGTAACCATTTACGCTAAGTTGTGGCACACCAATGTAATTGACTCAACACGAAAATTGGCCTCGCTTCGACTCAAATCAAAACCCCAAACTACACGCAGCGCTGCGCCCACGCGCACTTCACCTCCACGACCTACACGCCTCGCTCGCTCAGTCCTCCGGCTGCCGCCAACGCCGCCGTTCTGCACGAGCGAAGACGATGGCGAGCGGGGAGAAGGTGGACTATGTGTTTAAAGTGGTGCTGATCGGGGACTCGGCCGTCGGCAAGTCGCAGATCCTGGCGCGGTTCGCGCGCAACGAGTTCAGCCTCGACTCCAAGGCCACCATCGGTGTCGAGTTCCAGACGCGCACGCTCGTCATCGACCACAAGTCCGTCAAGGCCCAGATCTGGGACACCGCCGGCCAGGAGAGGCAAGAACCTACTGCTCTCCTGCACTTCGATTTCATCCCATCTTTTCGCTTAGATCTGCCCCCTCCCATGACATGGCAATTTCCCTGAGGATTTCTCAGTGTTTCGCTGTGTGGCTTGCTTGGTGCCGAGTAGTGAGCTAACACAGTTCGCTCTTGTGTTATGGTTCAGACTAGTCCGTAATTTTTGTTACTTTTATATCGCTACCTTGTTTGTGCGTTTATGCTCTGTAGAATGTCTTGGTCACTATAGATGTACACCATACCTTCGTACGGTTGTTAAAATGGCAGATCTCTACTCCACCGTGGTTGAAGTGGATGATTTGCCTTGCACTCTGCCAAATGGGCAGGGTAATTTGATACAGACCATAGATCCGCCATGCGATGCTTGAGCATGAAGTCTGGTCGCTAAGATTAAGTGTGCCTTGTTAGTTGGATTGATGGAGATGAGATTTTGTAAGCACGGAATGGAAAATTTACTACTAAATAAAACAGCTTCGGTAAATGGTGTCAAATTTAGCAAGGTATGGGTGGTAATCAAGATTTTTTATTGGATATTCTATGTATTTAAGTGGTCTGTTACTTGTGACTTGTGAGATACAATCTTTTGGTTGAATGGGTGATGAATATATTTGGCATTAGTCAAGTTGGAATAATAGGAATATAGGATGGGTTAACATTGAAAATGTATGATACTTTGCCTTATCAGCTACATCTGTTCTTTTAGTTGAAGAAAGTATTCCCCTATTATCTCTGTCTTTAATTTAAATTTGTTTATAGAAGATTATTTCACTTTTGAGGTGCAAATACTTGGTACTGTTGCACATGAGTCACTAGAGTTTTTGGCACATCCTCTTTTTTTAAGTTTGTTGATGGAAAAGAGTCTCGTACATTCTCATGGCATGTGAATCCTCATTGTATCCTATTCAGTGATGTCGAATGACATTTTTCTATTGAAAGCATTAGATCGTGCTTGAGAAACAAGTTAACAAATTTTCACGAACCTACCAGTCCTTATCCAGTTAATATTCTTGATTAGACAGGAGCAGCAAAGTTGATTTGCAAATCAAACGTGTGTACATGTGATCGTTTGATTACCTTACAGTCATTAACTTGGTGACTCGTCTCTCACTCATTACTCATTTGAGTTAAATTCTTTAATTGCAAATAATAAGGTCATGCCACGCTCATTCCCCTCTATGATCTCATGGAAAAAGGGTGGCCAAAGTGCTTGTACTTCTAGAAGAACAATCTGATATGTTTTGTGAATGAGCCAAAACATTGATATGCCTGTTTCTGAGTTAGTTATTTATGATAGTGTGCAACCAGTTGACAGCTGTTGGACTGACATACTAGTGAAATTAACTAAAGTATCATTGTTACATTGTTATTTGTGGAAAAAACCAAGTGTTGCATTAAATTTAATAATTTATGGCTTATTTCTTTAAAAATTAATGCTATTCTTGAATATTTCAGTGGAGCCAAAACTAAGGCATAATTTATTCTTGAAGTTGAAAAAATGCGACTTAGATCTCTCCTGTGATTTCCAATCAGGAGACTTGGGGTACAAATATTTAGTTTATAATTTCTGGGATTTGTCTCTTGAATTCGTTTAGTTCCTTTAGCTGTGTTTGTACTTTACTTTCCTGATATGGTCTTTAAGTTCCAATTCATCTATTATTATTATATTATTAAAACAAGGGGCAAACAAGCCACCACACGTGTCCCCATAGACCAAATTATCTGCTACATCGACTGTTATGGTGGGTCCTAATTATAATGTTAGAGATTTAAAATCAAACTATGTACACATCTCTGAGCTACAATTTTTTTTGAGAAGTCCTATATAATAGTAATAAACAAACAAAACCAGCAGCGAGCCACCAATAGAACCAATTAGATCCAGCATGTACTAGATGTAATGACATCATGACTTAAGTCAGCAATTAATAAACATGTTGTACGTAGGTTTAGGGTACTTATGGGTTCGTAAACATATGGCTTTCACATATTTTCACCCCTTGTTTGAAAGTATTTGGCTTCCAAGAATGTGCGTGGTCGATTTGTTTTAAGTTGGACTACCAACAGATACAGAAAAAACATATTGGCAAAGTAAAATTTCATAGTACCATTCATCATTAATAATGTTTTTTTAATTATTTAGTAGCATGTGGCTGCAAAACCAATGGTAAAAGATGCATATTGGAAACCATGCCAATATGTTGAACGCCATCTAATTACGTGGGCAGAGTAAGTATTGCATCGTATAAATTGCCAAATAGCAAATCATATACTCCCCCCGATCCAAATTAATTGGCGTAGCTCTAGTACAACTTCAGTACAAAGTATACTAAAGTTGTACTAGAGCTGCGACAATTAATTTGGATCGGGGGGAGTATTTGTCTTTATTGCTAAGGCGGACACAATGGTGGCTTTAAGTTTTTTTTTTTGAAAAGGAGGATGACCCCCGGCCTCTGCATCAATCGATGCATGAAGCCATATTATTGAATAAAAACGTAACAAAGTCTTAAGGTCCAAAGAAGCTCATAATCTGAGCAGAAGTCAAAAAAATAAATCTAAAAAGTGCCACATCCGGTGATATAGAACTGAAAAGTGCCACATCCGGCGATAAAGAACAAGCTACAATGCCTACACACCTAGCCTATTATTAGCTCGCCATCCAAATCGGCTGAAGATAGCCCGTGCTACCGTCTCCCAGCGGTTGCACCCAATAACCAAAAGCTCCCTAAAGTCCGCATGAGTGAGTAACGACCACATATGGATCCAAGCTGTAGCTCTGTAGATAACCTGCAAAAAATTAGTGGATTTTGTCCCATTAAAAATCATATTATTCCTAGTGTTCCATATAGCCCAGAATAGTGCACATATTCCTATCCGAATATGTTTAGCTATGTGTATGCCCACTCCATTAAGCCACGTCCCAAATAACGTGTTTATGCTCCTTGGGGGATGAATGTTAAAAGCTATATGAATTGATCGACATAATAATTTTGCAAGAGGACATTCGAGAAAGAGGTGTTTAATCGATTCATTTTGATCACAAAAAAAGCACCTGGAGTTACCAACCCAATTCCTTTTCACCAAGTTATCTTTGGTCAGAATGACTTCTTTATGGACGAACCACATAAAGATTTTAATTCGAAGCGGAGTGAGATAGATGTTCATTTTTTCCCAGTGAATGTGCACTTATAATTGTATTTTTGGAAGATAACAGTTTGACATGTCTAGCAATATGATGAACATCAGCCTAAATTTAAGTCCAGAAGGTGCTGAAATGAGGTGAGGAGGCTGACTGATAATAACCTTGAATGTATGGGTAGGAGAAATACGCAAAAACAGGGGCATGATTAGGAAAAAAACTATGATGAGAGGGACTTGAAAAACAAGCAAATAACTTTTAAACAATGAATTATGGAAGTATGCAATGGGACATTTCAGTTGTGCTAAAAAAGGTCAATGCAAAACAGCATAGACAATATGAGAAAGAACAGTCAGTGATGAAAGTGAGATGATTTATTGTCAAATACATATTTGAGAATAGATGGTCACTTGACATAGAGTTAAGTCTAAGATTAACTAGGGAGGAAGCATATAGATGCATGACGCTGTAACAATTGAAAATCATCATAACAAATCCAAGTTTGACAAATCCAATGAGGTGGGTGGACACAGAAAGATCATGAGGCTCAAGTAGGAGAGTAGTTAGTAAAAATTTCATCAAAAAACTATTAGTAAGAAGATAAACATGATGCACTTGGTCTTATGTTGGTCATGTTTATCATAACAAGCTGGTGCACTTAACATCAATATTACCATTGAGGTGTGATCATGTTTCCACGAGACATTCATTTCAAATATGTTTTGAATGATGGTTGATTGCATGACATTTTCTAAAGAAAAATATATATAACAATATATATTAAATTGTCTAGCCACGCAAGCGTGTAGCCCATTGTCAGTTACCCACTTTTTATCTGCCACTGATCTCTTGAACTGCGCACAAGCATAATTACCCTCAAATTTATATAGTTCAAAGTTCCAAAATTGGGCAACTACTTGTAGCAATTTCTTTGGGTGTTCTCAGATGCTTTCCTATTGTAGGCTACGAGAATGAACAACTACTTGCAATGTTTTATTCAAATGCTTTCACTAGCTTTTCCTCCTGTAACTTGTTCTCTAAAACCAGGTCATGTGCTGCTTACGTATCTATTTTTTTTGCCACCAGAGCTTTGTTGTTTCTGGCTGCTTTTACTTTTTCCATCTTATTTAAACCGTGTCTGGTTTTTGCACTTGTATTCTGTGGAATAGGTTGCGTCCTACAAGGTCTATAGTTGGATGTTATATTTTAGAGAACTGTACTACACATGCAGTTGTGAACTCTGGGTAGGAAAAGGCAACATTCCTAGCTGGTTGAGTTGGAGAAAATATTTGTGGTTTTCTCTAGTTAAGGCGTGAAGCTTTAGTGTCCTACTATTTGATATGTTTGCTCAACGTTGTTGTACGCCCAGTTACCAACTTCACATGCTGGTTGTTTCAATGACCGCAGGTACAGAGCTGTCACGAGCGCATATTACAGAGGCGCTTTGGGAGCTCTGCTAGTCTATGACATCACCAAGCGCCAGAGCTTTGACCACATACCTCGCTGGCTGGAGGAACTCCGAGGTCATGCAGACAAAAACATTGTCATCATGCTGGTTGGCAATAAGAGCGACCTTGAAGATGAGCGGGCTGTTAGCACTGAGGATGCCAAAGAGTTTGCTGAGAAGGAGAACCTCTTCTTCCTGGAGACGTCCGCGCTGCAGGCCACCAATGTCGAAAGCGCCTTCCAGACTGTCTTGTCAGAGATCTTCAAGATCCACAGCAAGAAGAACATTGTAACCGACCCAAAGGCCAATGGTGCTGCGCCGCCGCTGGCCGGCAAGAAGGTTCTTGTCCCAGGCCCAGCACAGGAGATCCCAAAGAGCAAGTGCTGCAGTTCTATGTAATCTCTCTGCTACCAGATTTGTTGGATTTGTGTGTGTTTTGAGAATATTCACGCTGTCTGGATATAGATCCCTACTGAGATAGTCTTAGGTTTCAAGTATTGGTTCATTTGGTGAGACGGATGGGGTCGGTGGCAGAGCAAGATTTTGCACTCGTCTCCACTGACTATGAGGTTAGGGAGTGAGCAGATGAAGTCCCTTTTCATAGGTCCGAGCCGTGGGATTGATTATCAATTGCCGTGTATGACTCAGAACACCGTCAAGCCTTTATGTAATGTTATACATATATTATATACTACGTAGCTCATATGCTGATGCGTTGCTACGGGAGACGAAAAAAAAACTCTTAGCTTGAAAGATGTTTTATTATATAATGGGACGGAGCTTACAAAATCAAAAAGTCACTTTGAACCCGGGTGCATTGGAGCCCTATTTTTTGAACTGTGCCAAAATGTTATTTTAAAGTTTCAAAAAATTCTGGAAACAAATCAACATGTTTATATGAATGTATAATACACATGTGTAAATTTTGATGCTAAAATAAGTAACCATGTGAATTGCACAAAAATGACAAAATCGTGATTTTGAAAAGATGAACAGTGCATGCATTATTCATTATTTGGAAATCACTATTTTGTCATTTTTGTATAGGTTGCATATTTACGTATTTCATCACCAAACTTTACACATGTGTAAGATACATCCATATGATCACGTAGAATTTTTTTTCAGAATTTTTGAAACCTTAAATTGGATTTTCAAAGTATTTAAAATAAGGTTCTCCAATACATCCGGGTTTCAAAAATCCACTCTCCTTACAGAACATCTTATATTATGGGATAGACGAAAACATAACTATCTGCAAGCACATCCCTTTGATTGCCCCATCATTTTGTACACCAAAATAAGACGGAAGTAGAACATATACCCTAGGAGCACATCCTTTGATTGCCCCATTGTATAGGCACTTGAGGAGCACATCCCCCCATCGTTTTGGACGCCAAAATAATACTCTTGCAATGGAGCAACTTTTTAACACATAGTGTTAACAACACATATATGCAATACACAAAAACACCTTATATTATGGGATGCAGGGAGTAGAACATAGCTACACCTAGAAAAACAGGTATTTACTTTAGGTTCTTCACTGGTTTTTGTGTTTTGGGCAGGTTTAATCCCCACCTCTCCACTGTGTGGTAAGCAGATAGATATTTTCTCCGTTCCTGGCATATCCCGTGCACTCCAGAAAATTCCCCTTTGTCGGCTGCCCATGTCCACTCCTTTCCTCCTCCCACCGTCTCACGCCCCCTTCTCCCCTTCCTCCACCACCACCCCCACCTCCCACCTTCCTCTTCCACCTCCCATGTGCAGCTTCCACGACTCTGGGCCCCCCTGATCCAGCCTCCTCTCTTCCCCCGACTCCTACACACTGCCACCATCGGGAGAGGCCGGAGCACGCCTCACCAGTCTCCTCGCATGTTCCATGGATGTGTTCGGTGTCGGGGTTAGGATCCTGACAATGAGTACTAGGGGTACGAAAGAGGGGCATGGCCTAGCTACGACGCAGTTGTGACACCTGGTCTATACGAGTTCAGGCCCCTCTCGATGGAGGTAATAGTCCTACGTCTCGTGCTCGGAGGCTTGTTTTCTCTTGGGATATGTGATTTACAGGCAGTGCTGAACCCTTGCCTAGGAGGAGGAGGGCGGCTTATATAGAGTGCGTTGCAGCCCCTTTACTCCCACATTACATGGGTGATTAATGGCTATAACTAGGGCAGTTACAGGTGTTAATAGTGACAAATACGACAGTTACACGTAACAGTAGTCATGACTATGCTTAAAGCCCAACTAAGACTACTCGACTGTTGCAGCTCCCACGTCGCCCCCTTTGCCTTCCTTGGCCGAGTGGTGGTGGCTGGGCCGACTGGTGGGAAGACTTCCGAATGCCGTCGGTGTATCCGAGTGGATTTCTGGTTGTACGCATCCGAATGCGTTTACAGTCCAGGGACCTACCAATGATAGTGTGGGACCCTAGGTGGGCCTTAGATGTCAAGTACTTGACACTACCAGTTGTAGGTGACCCCATCATTAGCCCCCAAACCGGTTGGGGTTTCACAGGACGGGTGATTTGAGTCTTTGGATTGGTCCGAGTGATTCAGGTCACTCGTCATCACATCTCATCGGATATCCTTGAGTGAAACCATGACAGATTCTGGACTGAAGGTTTTCCAAGTGATCGGACAATGTTGATGATGTAGGGTGGAACCCTAGATGGCCGATATTTCACAAAATGAGCGGATCCCGACTAAGAACACGAAGAACAAGGGGAAGAACGGAGAGAAATCAAAAGGGGAAACACTCAAGAACAAGTCCAATCACACATCAACTAGACAATCAAACACACAAGATCCACAAGGTACATGAACAATGAAGGGAAAGATACAAGGTAAGGTTCATCTCCATGAGGAGGTCTTGAATCCACGAGGGGATCTTCCCGTGAGGGGTCTTGAATCCAAGGTGGATCTTCTCCGTAGAGGGGCCGCGGTCTCTCTCGTGGAGTAGATCTGTAATGGATGAGCAAAGCTCTATCTCTAATGAGCTACTACTTTGCTAACCCTAGTACGGAGCTAGGAGACAAGTATATATAGCCCAAGGGGTAAGTTGGGGGATACATGGGGTGACACCCCTCTCACTACGCACAGGCAGGGCGGTTGTATCGGATATGTGAGCGGTTGTACCGCTAGGAGCTCAGGTACCGGTTTCTGGGGGTGTACGCAAAGGTAGGGAGCAGTTGTACCGGTGGTAGGACTGGTTGTAGCGGTATTGTCGCAGCTGGGGGGAAAACCGGGGCTGTACCGGCCTTGCACCGCTCGAATACAGAAGCTGGGCCGGTAGTTGGGCGGTAGCCGAGCAGTTGTACCGCCCGTGTGCCTTCAGCGGTAGTACCTCCTGGTGTGGGCGGTAGTATCGCTCGTTCCAGACTGGGCGGGTCCTCTTCTTCCTTCTCTTCCATGCTTCCCTCGCGGACGGTGTAGTCGTTCCTCGACGCTTGCACTCCTCGACATCGGTGAAGCTCCGACAATACCTATGCATGCACATGGGAGAAGTGTCAAGTAGTATACCATCCTCGAAGGGGTCAAGTGAGCACGTGTAAAGGAGATGATTCACCTTTGTGTATGTGAAGTAGATGTCGCACGTGTCACTTGCCGAACGTACTCTTGACATGGTGATGTCCGTAGGATGCTCCGCATCATCCCCTCCCCCTTGGGAAAGATCCGACCTTGGATCGTAAACCAAATCACCATGGGAAAGAGATGGCGTCGCCATGTAGAAGTGGACAACCACCAAGTACTTGTCATCTTGAAGCTCGAAATGGGCACTCTCCAATGTCGCACCATCTTGTGATTCCTTCAAAAGGAGTAAGGACAACAAACACTTGGAAAAACAAATATGGTTAGCGTTAGTGCAAAACCAAGCATTCAAGAGGTGAGTCACCAAACAAGTGTCGTCATCATGCAAAGCATAAGGTTTGACAAAGGATTGTGACATGGCATGTAAGAACATAAATTGAGCACAAGCAAACGTATCATGGGGACAAGCATGTAAATGTGAGGTAGTGATGCAAATATGAGTAACAAGAGAAGAAGCATCAACCTCAAGGTCATGGCAATCATGCATAAAGCGCTCGACAAATGGTCGATGGTAGGCATAAGAAACATTCACAACACCAAATAAAATGAAGTGTCTAAACACATGGGACAAGTGTAAGACAATGCAAGCATAACGTGCATAGGGTGTAGTGAAAATAGTGTGGCACTCAACACAATAGAAAGAGCAATTATTCATCATGTGTGAGGCAATCAAGTTAATCATGTGACAAGCAATGGGACATGGCATATGTGAAGTGATGACATTGTTGCAACCAAACATATTATAGTAGCAAGTAGTCTTGGATGCAACACACAAGGCACATATATCATGATGCATGGGTGATGTAGGGTGGAACCCTATACGGCCGATCTTTCACGAAAGGAGCGGATCCCGCGAAGAACACAAAGAACACGAGGGGGAAAACGAGGGAAAACACGAGTGAAACACTAAAACCAAAAAGAATGATCACACATGCGCTAGATCCATGAACACAAAGGGAGATACAAGATCCACGATCAACAACAGACGATACAAAGGGTAGCCGGTTCTTCTCCGTGAGGAGGTCTTGAATCCACAAGGGGTCTTCCCGTAAAGGGGTCTTGAATCCAAGGTGGATCTTCTCCGAAGAGGGGCCGCGGTCTCTCTCGTGGAGTAGATCCGATATGGATGAGCGAAACTCTATCTAACAAATGAGCTAACACAACGCGAACCCTAACTAGGAGGTGGTGGAGGAGTATATATAGTCTAGGGACACGAAGGGCTAAGTGAGGGGTACATGGGCCTCAGGCTCGAACACTGTGCGCAGACAGGTACCGGACGTCCGCTGAGGACCGGTCGTCCGGTGGCTCACAGGCGGCCGGATGTCCGGAAGACGTCGAACGTCCGCTCGATCTGGCTCGGATGCTGGAGTGCCAGGTTTCCGGAGGTGGAAAGTCGTCCGGTCACCGGTCGTCCGCTGGCGTTAGACGTCCGCTCATTTGGCTCGGGTGTGGGATCACCGGTCGTCCGGTCCGGGTCGGTCGTCCGGTGGGTCTTCAGGCACTGGACGTCCGGTCCCGGCCGGTCGTCCGGTGGCTGGAGCTTCTTCCACAGCTCTTCTTCTTGTTGCTCGCGCTTGGTGTCCTCACCTTCTTGTCCATGGGCTTCCTCTTGGTTCCTGGTCATGCATAGCACACATGTTTGAGGTAGTATCCATGTCTCACATGTGGAAAGTGACGATTCGGAGAGGAGCGAGTTCACCCTGTGTCTGATGGCGTATACTTGAGGTCTCGTCTTATGTTCTCTTGGGGCTTGGAGAGTAGTCGGAGGTTACATGGGGATGAACGTGGGATGCTCTGCACCATCTCCCC